TGTCTAATAAAAAATTATGATTACGATGTGTTTTTAAATCTTTCAATAAAATACTTTTAAAGAGAAATAAAAAGTTATTCACTTTGGGAAAAAATTATTCATTGTTCGAATTTCTACTCTATTAATCGTTCAATACGGGTAACCGTAACCGTAAAAACCGCAAAACCGCTTTTGAACCGTCGTAATTGTTATTAACCAGTTAATCGGTTAACCGGTTACCCGGTTTTTAAGAGCTCTAATATCTACGTTTGAAAGAGGCACGAGACATGATACCCGAGTTCGACGAAGCCTCAAGTAAATTACAAGAATTCTTAAGCGCCGCGTCATACGCAATAAAAAACATAAATCCTATGGAAGAAGGAACGCTATTAGAAGCAGTGCTATGCACAAAGCTAAAAGGAAGAGCGATGATAGATTTTCAAACGCGAGAGATAAGAGATTTCGCACAACTAAAAAAAGAATTAGAAGTTTGCTATTTGAGCCGCAAAAGCACAACACACTTACAACTAGAGTTTAATACACTCAAGCAAAAACCCGGAGAAAATGCAAGAGCATTCGGATTAAGAGCCGATAAGCTAGCGATGGAGCTATACGACTCCATGATAGAGGGAAGAAATCACACCATAGAAAGCAAGCGAACTATATTAGAAACGATTCAACAACAGGCATTACAGAATTTCCAATTAGGATTGAGAGACGAGATCAAGTTACTTGTCCGAGCTCAGCATTTCGCAACATTGCAAGAAGCGATTGCCGGAGTGAGCGCCGAAAAAAAAGTAAACGGGCCGAGTGGAATTCCGCCGCAAAATAATTATGCGTACTCGCCGCAACCGCGCGATAACCGATCGATATTACAATGCCAAAAATGCGGAAAATACGGGCATCACGGAAGGGAATGTCGTACCAGTAGATACGCGAGCCGTTTCTCCTTACCGAAACCCGATAGGACACCCCGCGTAAACGCGATAGATAAAGTCTGCAATTATTGTAAGAAGGCAGGACACATGCGCGAAGAATGTTGGCTGTTAAATGGTCGTCCAAATAAGGAAAGAACAAACCACAACAAACCGAATAATCCGAAAGGACAAAAGAAAAATTTTCACCCAAAAACGAATGGCCCGAGGAAAAAGACAGTAATTCAGCCGCGAATAGCGATAAGGAAGACAAAGAGGAGACAAAGCAGCGCCGACCGGCGTTAGAGTATCAGGTGTCACATATGACGAACAAGCCGCGGAAGCATGCAGGGCTGGACTTAATCACTCTGCCCATGCAAGAAGCGAAGCGCGAAAAAATAAATTTACTGTTCGATACCGGAGCGGCCGTATCAATAATAAAAGTAAAACGTTTGAAAGGCGAAACAATGATAGAAGAGGATAAAATGGCCCTTACAGGAGTAACAGGTCATAAAGCCCATACGATTGGAAAATTTACAGCAACTATAGACTTAAAAGATAGAAAGATCAAGCACACGGTATATGTCGTCAAGGATGATTTTCCGATTAAATACGACGGGATATTAGGAGTTGATTTTATAAAAAAACATCAAGCATCGTATAGTTACGAATCAAACTCAATAAAAATAGGAAAAAGTACATTAAAATTGTACCCGTATAAGAAGATGATTCTGAGACCGCGAAGCGAGACAATAGTACAAGTCGCGACCGATAAAAACTTACTAGGAATAATACAGGCAGAAGAGACAATGCCAGGAGTGTTCATAAGAAATTTCCTAGTGATGCCAGAAAACTTTCTATGTCCGGCAAGCATACTGAATACGACTGAGAAGACAGTCGAAATGCTAATGCCGCTAGTAACATTAGAAGAGTTAGAGCAAGAAGAAGCAGAAGAGATAGAAGTAAACCAAGTAAACAAAGCAGAAGAAACAATGCCACGTAGCGAAAAAGTCGATAAATTGATACGCACGCAACACTTAAACGAAGAAGAAAAGAAAGCCATTATGGAAATTTGCAGAGATTGTAGATGTACTGCATTTGGAAGGAGAACCACTGACACGCACTGATATCGTCGCGCATAAAATTACCACAAAGGCGGGCAGCGTACCGATCAACGTCCGACCGTACCGCTTGCCAGAAAAGCACAAGGAAGAAGTGAATAAACAAGTGAAAGAGATGTTAAAAAACGGAATCATTAGATCTAGCACGAGCCCGTAGAATGCGCCGTTGCTAGTAGTACCGAAGAAAAGAAACGCATCAGGAAAATTAAAACTGAGAGTGGTAATAGATTTCCGGTTTGTGAACGATCTAACGGAGAGAGATTCTTTCCCATTGCCAAACATAACTGTTTAAGATTGCTTAAACGTTTAACGATAGCGAAGGCGAAAATATTAGAATTTCAGTACGGCAATTGCGAGCAACGAGACTTGAGCATTATCGCCGTGACTTTCGACGGGACGTTTAAATGAGTAAACAGTGGAGACAAGGTATTCTTTGTTTGCTTTGTTTCCTCTGTTTATAATTGTCGATCGCGCATCTCTTGGGGACTTCTCTCGGTGAAGCGTGTATCGAAAAGTCTCGAATTTGCGAGAAGCCCCCGAGAGTTTAAAGAGACACGCGCTCTTGGCAACAAGGTCAGTCGCTCTCAGCTTCCCGAGTTGCCGCTGTCAATATCGAGTTGCTTGCTCCTGTTCTTTCGCGTACGCTTAATAGATAGAGTTGCTCGCTCGTTCGCTCGCTTAATTCGCGCTGCCTGCATCGGCGCTTGCTTGCGCTTTCGCGACGCGATATCTTCCATCGTTATAACTGCGATACAGTTTGTAAATAGTGTATATAGAAAAACAAACTGTGCTTGTCCGTCAATTCTGCTCTTTGCCTGTCTCTTCCTACGCGGTTCGTGTCCTCGCTCGCGCGCTCGGTCCGCTTCCGAACATTTTGGATACAAGGATCCGGCGCGGTCGGTGAGTGAAAAGTGATCGAATCCGCACTTCGTCGAACTGCCGACGCAATGAGCAAGGAAGCTACGACTAAGGAGACGGTCATTAGAGAGATGGAAGGAATCATCCGCAGTCAGCATGATCTTCACGGGCGCATTGCTCGCTCGTACGATAATTTAAAGAAAATGGGCTCTACTAACATCACGATCGGGTTGGTGGAGGCACGCCTACAAGCCCTCGATTCTAACTGGGCGAAATTCGAAGCTCAACACGATAAGCTCTACGCTTCCTTCTGGGAAAGTCTGACGGAGCACGACTACGAGAAAAGGAACGTGCCCGCGACTGTGGAAGAGGCCTATCTAATGCAAAAGGGGATGTTTCTAGAAACACTTCGCAAGCTTAAGAGCAAACTTGCTAGCGAGGCTCCTGGGGCTGCCCCGGCGAGCCAACCGTCGCGTACGACCTTGCCGCGCATCCAGTTGCCTGAATTTACGGGCAAATATGAAGCGTGGCCAGCCTTTCGCGACCTCTTTCATTCCATCATCGGGAAGGACGGCGCCACGACCTCCGTCGAGAAGCTGCACTACTTGAAGTCGTGCTTAAAGGATGAAGCTGAGCTGCTGGTGCGGAGTCTGCCCACAACGGACGAGAACTTCGACCGCGCTTGGAAGACCCTCACCGACTACTACGAGAACAAACGTCTCCTGGTGCGTTCGTATATCTCGCAGTTTACCTCGCTTCAGAAATTGAAGGGTGAGTCCGTTTCTGATTTGCGCAAGTTATATCATTGCGTAATGAGCACCGCCGGCGCTCTCGATAGCATCGGCCGACCGATCTCGCGGAGTGAAGACTTATTCGTACATTTAATTGTGGACCTTCTCGATCCGCGTTCGCGTCGCGAGTGGGAAAACGCTATTAGCGAGACTTCGGAACCGCCGTCGTATTCCGATTTACAGCAGTTTCTCGACAGACGATTACATACGCTCGAATCGCTGCAACCGGTCAAGACGGAAGGCGCTTCTTCCGCGAAGGCGGGGGGGAACTCCGCTCAACAAACGCGAGCCCTGCATGCTAAAAAGCAGGAGAACAAACTCGGCCGCTGTTCGATGTGCCAAAAGGGACATTTCATAATGTTTTGTGCCGCGTATAAAGGAAAGACTGCCGCGGAGCGAAAGCAGCATATTGAGTCGAGTAATTTATGCTTCAATTGCCTCGGGAAGCATAAACTGAGCGAATGCGCGTCGACGCGGACCTGCTCTGTATGCGATGCCCGACATCATACGAGCCTCCACGACGCGTACTCAGGCGGGGAGGTGGCTAAGACTTCGCATCTCGCGCAGAAAACCCTCGGGAAGCCGGTGGCGGTACTTCTCGCTACCGCTCGTATCCGCGTGCGCGATCGTTTCGGGATAGAGCACACCGCGCGAGCGCTCGTCGATCAAGGCTCCGAATCATCTCTCGTTTCGGAATCGCTGGTACAGCGATTGAAACTGTCCCGCGCGCCTACCTCGGTCGCGGTGTTCGGCGTCGGCGGGAAGCGTACGGGTCGCGCTCGAGGCCTCGTGGCCTTGGATATCTCGCCTCGAGACGGCGGGCCAGCCATCTCGGTGTCGGCCTTAATTCTACCTCGGCTCACTCTCTACGGCGGCGGGGTCTCTGCGGATCGTGCGACGTGGCCGCATCTCCGCGGGCTAGAGCTTGCCGACCCCGACTTTGCGGCCTCGGACCCGGTGGAAATTCTGCTTGGAGCTGATGTATTCGCCGCGATTTTCCAGCCGGGCTTGCCTAAAGGGCGAACCGTTCAAGCCGGTCGCACAAAGAACGACGCTGGGATGAATTATCTCGGGCGCCGCCGGTCAGGCGACCTGCGCTCAGAGATCGACGACTCTGCAATGCCACATCACTGAAGATCTTTCCAGCATCGTGAAGAGATTCTGGCAGCAGGAGGAGCTACCGGGCGGCGTACTCGCGCTTACGCCAGAAGACCGTGAGTGCGAGAACTTCTTCTCCCTCACACATTCCCGGACCGCGGACGGTCGTTACATGGTGAGACTCCCGGTCGTGGACCCGTTGCCCGATCTCAAGGGAACGCGCAACTCGGCCTTACGAGCCCTGGCGCACATGGAGAGACGATTCGCCCGAGATGACAAATTGAAGTAGCTGTACGTCGAGTTCATGCGGCAGTACGAGGAGCTTGGACACATGACGCCGGTAGCTCCGGAGGACAAAACGAAGAGACGTGTGAGCTACCTTCCACACCACGGCGTGATGCGCGAGGCGAGCACCTCGACAAAGCTGCGCGTCGTGTTCAACGGCTCGACGTCATTACCCTCTGGTGACTCGCTCAATAAGTGTCTGCGGGTGGGACCAAACCTCCTGCCGAATCTAGCCGATGTACTGCTGCGATGGCGTCGCTGGCGCTACGTCCTGGCTACGGATATGGAAAAGATGTACCGCCAGATCCTAGTCCATCCCGATGATCGCGATCTGCAGCGAATTTTCTGGCGGTATAAGATTGAAGACGAGATACAGAAGTATCTTCTCAACACGGTCACTTACGGGCTGACGTGTGCACCGTTCCTGGCGATGCGCTCCGTTCAACAACTTGCCGAGGACGAAAAGAAACTCTTCCCCCTGGCCGCGATCGCCCTACTGATTGACAGGTACATGGACGATGTACTCTCGGGCGCGGATACACTGGAAAAGGCTCTGACTCTCCGGCGTCAACTCTCGGAGCTCTGTATGGCGGGCGGCTTTCCGCTCCGCAAATGGTCGGCCAACGAGGAGTTCTTGCTGACGGACGTTCCAGCGGAGCACAGGATGCAGCGCGAGCTCCGCTCTTGGCGACCGCAAGAGTCGCATGCCACTCTCGGCCTTCAATGGCATCCCTGCCTCGACAGCTTCTCCTTTGCTACGAAGACGAGTCTAGTGACGTCTTTCACGAAGAGGTCGGTGCTGTCCCTCACTGTCCGGCTTTTCGATCCGCTCGGTTGGCTGGCGCCGGTGGTAGTGAGTGCAAAGATCTTGTTCCAGGCTACCTGGCTAAGAGGACTGGACTGGGATGACCCCTTGAGCGAGACTGACGCTCTGCAGTGGAAGACTTACCAGGCGGAGCTCCCATTGCTGGAGCAAATTAGAGTCCCTCGGAGAATATATCCAGGCGCCAGAGGACTCGGCGTCGAACTTCATGGGTTTGCCGATGCCTCCGAGAAAGCCTATGCTGCCGTGGTTTACTTGCGAGCACAGGCGCAGGACGGATCATGGCTGGTCACCTTGCTCGCGGCAAAGACCAAGGTCGCCCCTCTCAAAACCGTGGCTCTGCCTCGACTTGAGCTCGATGCTGCTGCGCTGCTCGCGCGGCTTGCTGCCCACACGAAGGTCACGCTCAAACTGCCCGAGGTGCCTCTTTATCTCTGGTCGGACGCCATGGTGGCCCTGGGCTGGATCCGAGGGCACCCTACTCGATGGAAGACCTACATATGTGGCCAATAGGGTATCAGCAATTCAAACGGCGGTCCCGGAGGCGCTGTGGCATCATGTGCCTGGCCGGGACAATCCAGCGGACTGTGCCTCTCGAGGTATCTCTCCCGGCGAGTTAGGAAATCATCCTCTCTGGTGGTACGGGCCGCCTTGGCTCAAGGAGGACTCTTCAGCGTGGCCCGCTACCGGAGCCGTGTCGGAGACGGAGGAGCTTCCCAAAGAGCGGGTGCGAGTCCACGCGGTGGTGCCTGTCGAGTCACCAATCGAGGAGCCCGAGGAACTGCGCCGATTCTCCTCGCTTCAACGCCTGTTACGCGTGACAGCGTGGTGCCGTCGTTGGTTGCGGGGAAGGGGCGGCCCGGGGGTCGTACCAGACCGCACGACGTTCCCTTACGGTACCGAGCTGACGTCCGAG